TACTGATGTCTGGCAGAGTAGAAAAGAACTCATTTAACTAAAAATCACTTTTTTTCAGAGCGCATCCCATACCTTTAAATCTCCCCTGTGAAAAAAATACAACCTCCAGCCCATACGAGCATCCTGGTGAGTGGCAATCTGTTTTAAATTTCAAAGAAGCAATTTCAGGTAAAACAAGAAATGCTGCTGTGGAGACCAGGTAAAAAAAAAAAACCCTCCCAGCAGAAGCAAAGCTCCCTGGCCCCAGCATACCCAAAGCATGATCCCTGCAACAGCCTGCAGTCAGCTGGAGCTACAGCAGCAACCCACACTGGCTGGCTGGGTCTTCAATTTAGCATGTCCCCGAAATAGCTATAGATGGCGATTTGTATTAAGTTGTACAATTGAAAGCTACTTGTGTAAGAGGATTGCTTTCGGATACATGCATTGAAAGATTTGCTTTAAGCACAAGGCAATTCAAGTGTAATTGCAGGAGCGAATCCTGCCCAAATTGCTCTCAGAGCAGCTTCCAGATGTCAGATGGACCCAGGAGGGACAAGCAGGCAGGATGCAGCCCTGGTTACCATCCTGCCTGGTATTCGGGGGCTGTTTTCCCTCTAGCTGCTGAGCAGGGGAAATCATGATTTTTCTAAGACATCTCAGCTGCCAATCCCCATGGGGATGCCGCAGCATTGGCCTCAGTGCAGGTCACCCACCTTGTCCCTCCTCCAAGCCCCACTGGTGGTGGCCCCATCAGCCCTATCTCCAGGGCTGCAAATCAGCCACCAGCACCTGCTCAGGACAGACTCACTGCGGAGCCCTGGAACACAATGGGGAAGATCAGGGAGAAGGATGGAGGGAACGTGGGGACACAGGGAGGATCAGGGAGGGACCACTTAGAACACCAAGTTATTTCAGCTGAGCCAAATGGCCCGTGGAGAGGCACCGCATAATGGGGACAGCAGCAATTTGTGTGCCCCAAGGGGGGCTGGGAGAAGAAATAGTGCTAATGCTACAACGCAGAGAAAACACACAGACAGTTTTCTTTAGGGCTCCCCTAGGATTTCCAAGGGAAGACACTGTCAGGGTTTTATGGAGCATTTTACATGAAATGGTAGTCACCACAGCAGCCGTTAAAGGCAGCAGCCCCAGGGCTCCTCCGGCACAGGGGCCGGGGCCTCCTCTCCCAGGGCAGCACCAGCTGCTACCAGGACTCACCACGGATGAGCAAGGGATTGGGGTGAACACTAGTGATTTATGGCTGCTTCATCTATCAGGGAGGTAGATGCAGGATAGAGGTATCTAGCCCAGAAAGGTGGAATAGGTGTAGAAGAGCTGGCATCCGTTGCGGGGAATGTAGTGGGTTATGATGGACACCAAACATGCCAGCCCAGAACTCCACCTGCGCCCATATGCAACTGATGCTCCAGGGTTAACAACAGTCCCACAAAAAGTTCGTCTTGCCTAAGCTGCTAATGACCTCAGTTAACCTAACCCACAGGAGCTTGGTAATGAGGAGGCAGTGAAATACTTGTGGACCTTTATTTCTTACGGCATGAACAACTTCCCTAGGACTTGGCTATAGGAAGGCCCCCCATGCTCTACTTATAAGAGGTCACACAGAGGAACAAGGATGACAGTAAACCCATAGCTGATCAGAAGACAGGGAAGACCACTACCTAAACACACAGCTTGTGGCTTGGGAGATGCCCTGGGACAACTGCTTGGGCTGGCAGATGTGAGCCAGGTCTTCCAAGAGTCTTGCAGAGCAGAGCTGGTGGCTGGAGAGGTCTTTGCACCTACTAAACATCTGTGTTCAGGTAGCTGCATCTCAACCCTGATATTTTTACTCAAACTGCATTAGTTCTGCAAAATAAGCCCAGAACACATCAGTTTTTAACTCAGAGGTGGTCCAACACTGGGAATTTCTGAGAAGGCACCTTCTCCACATAGCATCCCTCCCATCAGAAGCAGGAGTCAGAGCACAGGTCTCACTAATAAATGTATTTTTTCCTGTTAACAGCTTCAAATCTTTCAGCACGGAGCATCTGAACTTTCCAGTGCTGCTAACCTTCACCCCAAAGCCCAGATGGGAGTTAAATGGTGTCAAACATGACCAAGAGAACAGAGGAGTGACTGAGCAGAGGATGGGATCACCCCTGGTGAAGCCGTGGTGGGAACAGGACAAATCCTTCTCCCCAAGGGGAAAGGAGAGCATCCTTTCTTTAGCCTGTTTCTTAAGGAAATCAAATCCCTAAGACTAACCTCCCATGAGGATTTAGGAGGTATTTTTTGAAAATATGGTCAGGAAAGGAAGGAAAAAAGTCATTCTGGAGACCTTGCTTGAAGACAGATGCCCACCACTGACCCAGATAAAAAAAAATCCTCACCCAGAGTTTCCAATGCCTTAATGAATCCATGTCTTTCCTCCACCATTCACTGAACAGCAAAATGTATCACCAAGAACACACACACGAAAAAAAAAGCCCACCACATTTTCTGGTGGAAGAAAGCAACAAGCAGGTGCCCTCTCAGCTCAGCTTGGTACTCACCAGCTCCCATGAATAGGGCTGTAAAGGATGAAACACATGGACATGTCTTAGCTAAGAAGCAGCATTAGCAGCCCAGATCAAATCTCACCATGACAATGGCCTGGCTCACCCCAATGGCAGCTTTCAAGACAGGCCACAACATATGGTGGCATGGGCACAGGATCTCACCAGCCTGGCTGGGACACCCAGCACACCAAGCTCAACCTCCAGCCAGATGCAATCACACAGCGTGGACACCTTGAGAGTCCCACGGTTGGACTTTGGTGATGCGATGCACACAAAGCAGCAACACTGTCATGTCAGGTTTCTGTTACAGGAAGACCAACAGATGGCTTGAAAACATCCTGTCCCTCCCCAGGGCTTGCTGGTGCCACGTGCGTCGGTCTTGGCATTGGCCTGAGGAAGCTTGGTGACCTCTCACCACTTCCAACCTCCATTCAGTGCTTTAGGGAGAGGAGCCAGGTGACTGACCTGTTAGAGCAGCCTCCCATCAGCCAAGCCCTCTCTATCGTCCATGGATACACAGATGCTCTCCCTTCCACTCCACATGCTATCAAGAAAAAAGATATTCTGCAATGTTTGTGCTTTTGATCTCCTTAAAATCCCTTTAGCATCCCCTCTTACAAAGTCTCACACAGCAATGACAACAAAGGTGCTCTAGGGAAAACTACTTTATTTTCTTTCTTCTTTGGAAACACATTTTGCAGTTTAAGAAATGAGGTTCTTTTTCAAAAAATAATCACAACCTCAGGAACAGTCCTATCCACAGTGCTGCAGGTGCTGGGCATCGCAGGCTTATGGACCTCGCCATTAAGGTGGGACTATTGTGAACACCTCTGATCTGTGTTCCTGGAGTTCAACAGAAGAAAAAAAACACTCAAGCATCACTGTGTTTTAATTCCCACCAGCGTCTGACACCTCTGGGTCTAAATTAAAGCTCTTTCTGCAGCAGATTTGGTCAGGCTCCTCAGACTTCAGCTGGAGCAGGTCAAGCCACCATGCAGCAGACTGAGGTAATGGGGGAGCCCCATTGTCCACTGCTCTCCCACACAACAGCCTGTTCACCCCAAAAGGCTGGCTGGGCACAGGGAGAGAGGAGGAGAGCGGCCAGCACTGCCCCGTGCCTCAGGGGCCGCCAAAGCATGGAAGCCATTGGCAGAGGTGTGGGAGGCTAGCTGAGAAGCAGTAGCATTGTAGCCTAGTTCAGCCATTTTGCAACTGAAGGCACAGCTGGACATCGGGGGTCTCCCCCGGGTGTTTGCACACTGATCTTCTGCAACTCATCAGGGACTGCAGCCGATACAGATGTTGCATAAACAGGTTGTCAGCATGTGAAAGTGGGCATTTTCCCAACAGAAAACAACTCACTCCTCTCTCATTTAAATGCAATTTTCCAGCCAGGTTGCAATACCCCCAGAGTGCCAGGCACAGCCCAGGGTCTCCGAGAGCAACATCCAGGGACATGTCACTGGACCTCGTGCCTAGACGTCATTTCTCCAAACTATAAGAGTTTGCTTCTTGACAAGAGATCTCAACCAGATTCAGTTTTCATTTACATCAGATTACCACCTCCACCCAAACCAGCAGCGACACTGTTGACTTGCCTGTGTGGAGCGAAGGGAGCCATCCACGTACACCCAAGCCCGTACAGGTGGGAAACCTGTACACCCCACAGCACATCCTCACCATCAGCAGGACACTGGACACACACAGCAAGAGCATAACAGGGCTTTGAAGAACTGTATGCGTTGTTTAGGGCTGCTGGGGGAGTAGGATAAAACTACTCGGAAAATATTCATTGCTAAACCCATGAAGCTGGAAAATATTTGGAGAGATATCAGAAGTTGCAGATGATATTAAGAGCAGTGCTATTACTTACACCATTCCCAAGCTTCAGCTTCTTGGGTTTGGGGTCTTTATAGGAATTGGCACCAGTGTTTAAAATACATAATTCTTTGTTACTGTCTGTACAATGACACTTCCAGAAGGGCTCAGGCTTTTAGATCTAGACCCTTCTGCAGTCCCACCTGCACAGATCCTGTGGTGTTGAAATCCCCTTGGCACTTATCCTTATGGATACAGAATGTTTTGCTGCAGAGTTGGATGCCACCAGGTGCCGGGCTCTCCTCGCAGCAGGGCACAGAAGGCAAACAAACACTCCTCCTCCACATCCAACTCCAAACACTCTCCGCTGCAGAGACCACAGCCACTGCCTCCCTCATCATGCCGCCAGTTCAATAAATTGCTGGCATGCACCATTTGTGATTTATCTTGAGATACAGAGCATTATAAATATTTTCATCCAAGAAGCCCTAAAAACAGGAGAGAAGGGTTAAATAAAGGCCTTACCCTCCTTGTCAATATCAATCAGAAAAATCTAGGTGATATTCAAAATCGGTGTTAGCCCAGAAATGGAGACCAAAAGTCAGCAGCCAGCCAGCCCAGAGTTCAGCGAGAACCAACATAACCTCAGCACCCAGAGATGTCTCTCACTTTATTCTTCCGCTGGTATCTTATGTCCACGGGATCAAATCCCCTTTCTCTGGACCCAAACAGCGCCCAGCGAGGAGTTCTGGCTGCATAATCGACTGCAGTGAAAGCCTTGGACCCGCCGCTCCTCTCGTGCTCTTGCACCAGCTCCTGGAAGCGGTCGTAGTTGATCCAGGTGCACCACTCACCATTGATCTTGAACTGGAAGGAAAAGAAAAATGTTACCAAGCCAGTGAGCAATGAGGAGTACCAAATACCACGTTTATGCTAAGACAAGCTGGGTGCATATTAAATTGGTTACCCAGCTGTAGTCTTTTTTAATTTTCTAGCCACATTAAGGTCCAGGGTAAAGCCATCCAGAAGCTAATGTAGAATAACTGCTTTAACAGAAAAAAAGAAATTCAGGTGGACAAATACCTAGAACTTACTGTTTCTGAGCCACATTTCATCCAGGGGTTTGACAACATACACAGATACAGGATGACCATTTTTCTTACAGCTTTAGTCATTTAGTGCTGTATACCAGCAGATAATCTCCATGAGGGTTTCACTGTTGTGTGCTTTGCCAGATCCTTCAAAGTACCAGATCCTACCACCACTTCAGCCCCACTTTGCCATGGTTCACCCTAAAGCCTTCCCAGGTGTGTTGGCACTTGCCAGGTGTCACTTACACCTGAAAGACCTTGGTTTGGGGAACTAGAAGAGCCCTGGAGGAAACATGTAAATTTGAGAACAATACCCAGGTACCCCTTGATGAAGGGACCTTTCCAAGGTCAACCAAAGCCCCTGTTCAGAGCGTGTGACACCAACTCCAGAGCAGCCACAGCCAGGCAAAATGGTACGGGAGCAACACCAGAGCAGTGCGCTGCAGAGATTGGGGTGATTCTTGAAAGGGGCAAGAGGACTGTGTTTGGGAATGGGGGAAAATAAAAAGGTTTAATGACACGAATCCGCTTTCCATGTGAGAATTTTAAGAACTGCTTATTTTGACAAGCTGAAGCTGCATTTGTCTAGCAGACCTGCTATGCTAATTTAGCAACAGACTTGACTGAATCCTCAATTAGGATTTATCTGAGCTAAGAGCTTCTTATGCACTTTATCAAAAAAAAACCCCAAACCCCCAAAAAAACCCCAAAACCAAACACCCAGGGAAAACAGACTGACTCCCTGTTTTTTTCAAAAACCTGATGGCTATGCATTTAAAATGGCACTTGACTCTCTGCCCAAGAGCTAAAAGCTTTTTTGGTTGGAAAAACTGCTGACACCTGCAAAATTTTGCAATCAAACATTGCTAATGCTGATCTATTGCTGCCTGCGTAATTACAGCGAATTCTTGCAGGAGTCGTCTTCCGCACAGAGTGGAGGTGTGAGACTGCAGAGTCCTAACAGTGGGGAACAAGTCTCACCATAAATAAACTCACCCAACGTTCATTCTTCATATGCTAAGGTGGAGGCCATGTTTCACCAAGGCGACACATCCTTTCCAGTGTGCGCGGCCACAAGTAAAGCAATAGCAGAGGAGACAACCTATCACCTGTAAAGCAGCAGGTCCCAAACAGGATCCAGGCTCAGGAGACCTGAACTTCCCTCCCAATGTGTGTGGAGGTGCTAGGTGACAAGTTCACACCATGCATAAGACTCCCTGCTCCCCCCAGATTTGATTCACTAACACCGAGCAAATTTTCACACAAATTAAGGGCAAAAAAAACCTAACCCACAGGATCCAGCAAAGCCTTTAACACACATGGCACATGGGAGAGTTGTTTAGCACACTAGCTGTTGAGCTTATTCCCATGATTGGTACGGAGCACTCCTAACATGTCAGACGGGTCCCTAGATAGCCTTGAGGACAACTAAGAGAAACCTAGCACGTGAAGAACAAAAAAGCCGCTGATACTGGAACACAACTGAATAGGCAATTCAGTAAAGCCTATTTCCTTGAAAACCAATGGGATGCTCTAACCTCAGGATGAAAGGGGGAGCTTGCAACAAACTGTTAACCCTGTGGTCAAGAGTGGCTCAGCAAGAGCACCAAAGCCACAGGAGATACTAGTGCCACCCAGACCAGCTGAAACAAGGGTATGGACTGCAGCCACCATGCCCAACCCAAACACTGGCATAAATATCTGCCTCTCCAGAATCTTAAAGCTAGAACTGTATGAAAACAGCCTATTATTACCTGCAGGAGATAGAGAACTATTTCTAGAGTATTTCTAGAAGAAGACGCGCTCAGACCGTTGCTGTGTCAAGCCAGTCAACAGTGATGCAGCTGCACTCACAACCGGTTTAACTGGCAATAGGTGGGTAAAAAACCACCATCCTGTGAATGGGCTGGCATCAGTGCTGGTGCTCTTATCATCCACAGCAGCTTCAACATCAGTATAACACTGTCACTACCCAGCCGAGGGCAGAAGCTGTCTCATACAGGGATGAGAGTCTGACATGAGTTTCTGGGACACAATCAGATGGTTTCTCTCTTTTTAGAGGCAAACTATTCTTTTTTCCCCCGCTCCATCATGACATGGCTGTATGTCACCACATCAGCTGTTCTTCCATGGAGTTAGTGACCTTTAACGTGGCTAGCAGCAGAAGGAAATAAAACCAAAGATCTCCCAACACCAATCCCAAAAAGTCCCCATCACCTGGAGTTGGGCATCAAAGCTTTCAGAGGCCACTGGACGAAGCGTGCAAGCACGCAGCTGGCCCGAAGGTAGCATCCCCAGACCTGCTGGCTTTTGGGTTGCGCTCCTGAGTAAGGTGGGATGCTGAGAGGTGGCTTGGTGAGTGGCTGGAAGGGACCTCTGCTCTCTCCTCCCCTCATCACTCACTCCCCTTAGCATAAAGCACTACGCACGCTTTCCTGGGGATAAAACCCTCCAGGGTTGCATAAACTACGTGCATCGCTCTGCATCCTGAACTTTGGCTAGGTCACCAAAGTGAGATTTTAAGCTATTTAATTTTGACTCCATCTGAACATGCAGCTCCTGACACAACAGAGCTATTAAGGCTGGGAGCCACCTGCTGCAGACTAAGGTGACAACACCATTCCCACCAGAACAATCAAATGAAGGCTGTCTGGAATTCATTAAAAAAGCAGATTAAATATTAAATATTGTTAATAGCACAACAATAGCACAGCTGTAAAACATGAAGAAATGGGAGCAATCCTTTAAGCGTGTCATGGAAAGCAATTACTTCTGCTGAGGAATAAAAACTAGACAAACATGGGGTCGGGGAGAACAGCCTCAATTGCCCACAAGATTTACAGATCGGATTTTGACAATTTTGTGATTATTCCATAGATAACAAAAGATTTAAGACTCAGAATACTTTCACAGCATCCATATAACAGGTGAGCCAATGTTAAACACCAGTGTTATTTCAGACTAATATGGTCAGGTTTTTTATTGAATTTTTCACTACCTGGTTTAAGTCTTAAGGTGATAAATTGATAAATACAGCAACAAAAGACAAATGGCTGAAACCTTGTTTTTTTTAAAGCTAGCATCATAAAAAAAGTAATAAAGCTCCTTTGGCTGGCTCTGAAGCCAGGCTGTGTTGTCTGGAGAGGCAAACTCGCCTCCCCAAGGGCCTTGCTCAAGCAGTGAGATGACACGGGAGCCACCACATGCCTTCCCCTCAGAGCTCATGCTCCCAGGGTCCCCAGGCTCCAGTCCCCACGGTCCCACCACAGATCACTCTCTACAGACGTGGCACCAGTCCACAGCAATGCAAAACATGCCTGATTTCTGCAGATCCTACAGCCAGGGCAAGGAGCACTGCCCTGAGCAGGCATTAATGCTGGGAAAACAAGAGGCAGAGGAAACAAGGAGAAACTCGTAATGGCCTTCAAGCCCAGAAAAGCAGATCTAAGTGTGTTGCTGGACCACCACTGGGGACATTTGTCAAGGGGTTACACACCTCTGACAGGAATGGCATGGCTTGACTAGGGGAGCCACAGGGCAATGGTGCAAAAGGACGGAGCTATCTGCATGGGGTTGTGTTGTCCATGGACATGGCCAATCCCTCAAACAGTCTATAGCAAAACTAACATATATACTGCAAAGACAATCAGAAGCCATGACTAAAATGGAGAGCCAAGTTACCTAGGAGCATCAATAGAGCATGGCTAACACCTCCTTCTTCTCTTATAACTCACAAGAGTGGATATGAACAGGAAATTTCTTTAAATTATCTTTTGCAGTAGGTTTACAGCTGCTCCAACTGCAGAGAGAATCTTCTTGCTACAGAAACCTATCAACATTCATGAAGAAGAGCCACGCTACATATTTCTTCTCTTATCAACATATTTGCATAAGCAATTTGGGGGGGGTAAAACCATATGCATATATTGAGGACAATATAGTAGTACAACTTACTACATTCCTCCAGACATGCATAACGGCCAAGAAAGAAACACAGGGTTTATATGAAGGGATAAAACATAGAAGAGAGGCAGAGATGGTGACACATGAAATGCTAACACTGAAAAATGGAAGTCAGCCAAAAATCAATTAGTTTGTCCTAACAAGGATAATGTTATATTTTCTTCAGAGAAAAACACACTGAAACAAGGAGGCTCCTCTTCATCCAATCCACTCTGGTCTTTCTCCAAAAAAAAAAAATAATGTATTTTCAGGAAAGGACTAAATAGTATGGGCTACATAAGAGAATAAAAGCAGAGCAGTAAGGCAAAGCCTTCTGTGGCTCCTTGCAGACCTCATCCTCACAGAGCAAAACTTGGGCTGGAAGGACAGAATCCATTCCTGATGGGGAGAGGACCCATGGGAAACCTTTCTCCGATGAGCTGTGTTGCAATGCAGCATCCCTGAGGAGCAGAGGGAAGACTGGGAAGAGAAATCAGGGCTTTGGGTCTTGCAACAGCTACTCTTTAATTACTCAAGGACACGAAGTCCAACAAATGGATTCTTCCCCAGGTAGATGCCTGAGGTTTAATAGTTACGTACAGCAGTTTTATGCATAGTTTTAAAAACCACACACACACACACAAAAAAAAATCAGTCAGTGGTAAGTAGGGAAAACAGCGCACACTTCAGTTGCAGGGAGGCACAGAAACTGGTGTAGCATCATACAGGAGAGCAAGGAGAGCCCACGGCTCCTTTGATGGCTTTTCTAGTTATAATTTCCAGCATTTTAAAACCTGGCGTTGCCAAACATTTCAGTCAACACTTATTTTGGTT